TAAAAGCTTTAATAAAAGAGGTTCTCTATCATATATATATTTAAAGATTTTATTTATTAGAGAGAGACAGAGAGGAGGAAGAGGAGGAGAGGGAGAGAAGCAGACTCCCTGCTGAGTGCAGAGCCAGCCATGGGGCTGGACATGGAGCTCAATGCAGGACTCAACCTCATGACCCTGAGATCATGACCTGAGCCTAAATCAAGAGTTGGACACTTAACTGTCTGAACCACACAGGTGCCCCCTATCATATATATTTTTAAGTTTATTTATAATCTCTACACCCAATGTGGGGCTTGAACTCATGACCCTAAGATCAAGAGTTGCCTGTTCTTCTGATTGAGCCAGCCAGGCACCCTGAGGTTCTCTATTATAGATTTTAAATGATTTAAGACATATTAACCAAATGTAATATGTGGAAATTTTTGAATTTTTTTTTTGAAATTTCTGAATTCTAGTTCAAGCAAACCTAAGGTAAAAAGACATTTTTGAGACAGGAAATTGAACACAGACTAGCTATTAGATGGCATCAGGCCAATAACACTTTACCATACATAATAAAGTATCTATAGGTGGAATGATAGGATGCCTAGGATTCACATTAAAATACTCAAGAAAAAAAAGGGAGAGGAGGAGTAAAGTGAGGCAAGGAATAGTTTGAAATAAATTGGCAAAAATACTGAAGTTTTGAGTGCCTGAGTGGGTCAATAGGTTAAGCATCTGCCCTTGGCTTAGGTCATGATCCTGCAGTCCTGGGATCAAGCCCCACATCAGGCTCTCTGCTCCACAGGGAGTCTGCTTCTCCCTCTGCCCCTCCTTCCATTCGTTCTCTCAATCTCTCTCTCAAATAATAAATAAAATCTTTAAAAAATATTGAGTTTTAAAAAACAAATATTGGGGTGCCTGGGTGGCTCTGGGTTAAAGCCTCTGCCTTTGGCTCAAGTCATGATCTCAGGTCCTGGGATCGAGCCCCGCATTGGGCTGTCTGCTCAGCAGTGAGCCTGCTTCTCCCCCCACCCCCACAACCCCGCTGCCTACTTGTGATCTCTGTCAAATAAATCTTTTTTTTTTTTTTTAAAGATTTTATTTATTTATTTGACAGAGAGATCACAAGCAGGCAGAGAAGCAGGCAGAGAGAGAGAGGAGGAAGCAGGCTCCCTGCTGAGCAGAGAGCCTGATGCGGGGCTCGATCCCAGGACTCTGAGATCATGACCTGAGCCGAAGGCAGCGGCTTAACCCACTGAGCCACCCAGGCGCCCTCTGTCAAATAAATCTTAAAAAAAATTTTTTTTAAAGATTTTATTTATTTGACAGATGGAGATCACAAGTAGGCAGAGAGGCAGGCAGAGAGAGGAGGAAGCAGGCTCCCCGCTGAGCAGAGAGCCTGATGCGGGGCTTGATGGTGCTCCATCCCAGGACCCTGGAATCGTGAACTGAGTTGAAGGCAGAGGCTTTAACCCACTGAGCCACCCAGGTGCTCCAAATAAATAAAATCTTAAAAAATTTATAATGATGTTTTCAAGCTGGGTGATGGGTAAAGTAGATTTATTTTTTAGTCTACTTAGTATATGTTTGGAAGTGTCCATAAAAAATTCTTTTAAAGTTTGCAATAAAGATTCACATATTTGTCTATGAGTGTGACTGCTTCTCTAGACTAGCTTCCTGTAAGTGGAATTCCTAAATGTAAGGAATGAGAATTTTTACCTTGACTGGAAATTTCTCTCCGGGTGTTTGTAATAAGAGGGTTGAAGACAAACTACCCCCAAATATGGCACCTTGGCGTACTGAATATTTTCAACGAAAGGAATTTGACACAAAGCAGGTGCAGAAAGGACTCTGACCTTCCCTGAGGTGAGTCATAGGCTCCCACGTGAGAGGTGCCCTCCCTATACCCAGAGGAAAGGAGCACCATTTTCTCCAAGACACAGGGAGGATTCTGAACCAACAGGCCTTGCTGTTTCCTCCAGTTTACTGCACTGAGCTCATATTCCTTTGTCCCATCCCATGTTCCATAAGTCTCTACTCTTGATCAAACAGCCTAAAACACTCAGACTTACCTGCTTCTTCAGGTGATTTCCTTTTGAAGTTTCCTGTGTTACATAAAACATATGATAAATTCATACGCTTTTCTCTTGTTAATTTCTTTTGTTACAGGGCCCCTAGCCCAGAACTTAGGGGGGTATATAAAAAAAAAAAATCCTTCCCTACAGTAGCAATTTACAAGTTTCCCACAATCCCCAAATACTTGTTTGATGTTTTAATTTCTGTTAATCTGATGGATACAAATAGTATATTATTTTATTTATATTTTTACAAAGATCATTTGAGAGAGAGTATACAGGATGGGGAAGGGTCAGAGGAGGAGGGAAAGAGAATCTCAAGCAGACTCCCCACCCAGTTTGGGGCCCCACTAGGGTTCCATCTTAAAATTCTGAGATCATGACTTGAGCGGAAATCGAGTCAGATGCTTAACCAACTGAGCCACCCAGGTGCCCCAGTATCTTATCATTTTAAATTGTATTTCCCTGATAGTTGTATAGTTGAGCATTTTTCAGACCTTTATGTGCTACTTAAATTTGTCTGGAAAATTGCTTTTCATATTCTTTGCCCATTTTTTGTCTTCTACTGATTTATAGTTATTTCATATTCTGACACTAAGCTTTTGTTATGTATGTTACAAATATTTCTTTCCAATTTATTCCTTATATTTTAATTTTTTTAAAGATTTTATTTATTTACTTGACAGACAGAGATCACAAGTAGGCAGAGAGGCAGGCAGAGAGAGAGGAAGGGAAGCAGGCTCCCCGCTGAGCAGAGAGCCGGATGTGGGGCTCTATCCCAACACCCTGGGATCATGACCTGAGCTGGAGGCAGAGGCTTTAACACACTGAGCCACCCAGCTGCCCCTATTCCTTATATTTTAAATTTGTTTGCAGACACTCTTGCATCCAGAAATTTTAAATTGTAATGTCAAATAAGTCTTAATTTCATTTACAGATTTTGCTCTTTGTTCCTTAGGAATGACATTCAAATCCCAAGCTCTTATTACTGATTAAAAAACAATTATTATTTTTTAAATTTTAAGTAAACTCTAGCAGGTGGGGCTGGAATTCACTACCCAGAGACTAAGAGCCTCATGCTTTAGAGACTGAGCCAGCCAGGCACCCTTCTTATTACTGATTTTAATAAGAATGCTTCATAATTTGTAATCAAATGTTTCATTTTTACAGATAAGACTTTATTTCAAATGACATAGTTTTTCTTCCTTCACTCTGTTAGTTTGACCCATTTCTTTACCTTAAAACATCCTTGCACTCCAGAGTTAAAACCTACTGTCAATATTTTTTTTTAAACTACACTGCTTGATTCAATTTGCTCAAACTGCTAATATTTTATTTGAACCTTGCATCTTTTTTTTTTAATTTATTATTTGACAGACAGAGATCACAAGTAGGCAGAGAGGCAGGCAGAGAGAGAGGAAGGGAAGCAGGCTCCCCGCTGAGCAGAGAGCCCGATGTGGGGCTCGATTCCACGACCCTGGGATCACGACCTGGGCGGAAGGCAGAGGCTTTAACCCACTGAGCCACCCAGGCGCCCGAACCTTGCATCTTTATGCATAAGTGAAATGGGCTTCTGCTGTCTTTTGAGTTGTCATTGATTGGGTTTACTTCGGTAAGTCCTTAGTGAGGTACCAAATCTGAAATATGTAGGCAAATTGTTTTTCTTGTTATCCTTCCTTCCAGTTTAGGACTTTCTGAAGCTAGGACCAGCCCTCCCAACTCCCAACATACACACATATCCCAAGGCGCCCATACAATCCCAGTATAGGGATAATTCCTAGTATTTCGATCCTGCTACCGGGCTTACCGGTACTAACGGTGATTGAAAGAGCACATTAATGATGGTTTTAGCTCAAAGAAATATTATTTAGTAATTGAGGATGTTGGTCAATAGCTGTGAGGTTCCCTCTCTGTGAGCCTCAATTTCCTTACATGGAAAACGAAATCATTAAAACATCTAAGACAAGTTTAGAGACGTGCATAAAATGTGTGGAAAGCAACAATGCCTGAGACAACACAGGTGCTAACGACTCTGGCTAGCACCATCCCCGCTGTCACTGCTTGCGCGACAGCGGCAGACGCGGGCGGGCGGCGAGGGCGCGGTGCCCACGGTCAGCAGCCCGACCCCCTAAGCCCTACTGCCGGGTCCTGGTCTCTGCTCTGACCCGCGTTAGAAGGCCCGTGCCTCCCTCGCGGCTGAAAATGAGAGGAATCCCACCCGCCCCACTGAGCGGGTGGCAGCCCAACCGCGCTCACCGACGCGAATGCCGGGAACCTATCTAGCCTCGCTCACGAGCCCGCGATGAATGGCTGCTTTTATGACTGTTATTCACTTTCTCCGGGCCCACCAACAAAGGTATGCCGACACAAGTGGCCGCCCGACAAGTTCCCGAAGTTATGGAAGAGAGCTGCACCAACCCGCCTGCCAACCCGGGCCAAACTCCGTACGCGGCGCGAGAAACGAGACAAGTCGACTAAAACGTCCGCCCTGTGCACAGGCGTAGCACTGGCGGCCCAGCCTCGAGGCCCCGCCCCCAAGCTCGCGCTTGTCCGTTCCCTCCTTGGGTTTGAAGCTCGGGATTGGCCCAGAGGCGTTTCCGGCTCTGATTGGTCGAAGTGAGTCACGAAGGCTCCGGCTCCTTCCGGAGTGTGTGTGTCCAACGGGCCTCAATCGCCAGCAGCGTTTGGGCGGGCGCTGCAGACACCTTGGCGCCTGCGGGCTGCTGCGGGCAGCACTGGCAGAGTGCGGTGGCTCTGGGTGGGCGGGGCCGTACACCCGCGGTCCTCTCTCCAGGCGGGACGAGGCTGTGCTAACCGGTTACTTTGAGAAGTGGCGGTTCTAGGTTCTGGTGTGAGACTCCTTATTTGGGCAGTGTATTTGGATGGCTCAGAAATAGGCGCCGCTCCACTTAACCCCGAGTTCTCAGTCTGGAAAGGTAAAGACACTTGAATTGTAGGTAGTGATCTTTTACCCGTAAGGGGGTTTTATTTTGGATCTGTGTGCTTTCCCTTTGAGCTGCTGGTAGTGGAATCAATTTTTTAAAAATCTCGAAATTATTTGAAAACGCGTGTTGAAGGGAACAGAATGAGAGGGAAAGGGAGGAAGTCTTGGAAGCTTGCCTAATACCTGGAGGATTTCTAGACCGTGGCAAAAGGCAAGGTATGGGGCATCTGACCTACAAATAGATGCCAAAAATAATCTTTTTGTATGCATTTTGATATTCACTAGTGTGAGTAAAAGATCCCAAATGAAAGTAACTTTAGGGTGAGGTTTGCCATGTTTATGACAAATAGAAACTTATTCCAGATACTAGAGGAAAAATACGCATAGCGTGGAATGTTGAAGGCCCTGTGATGACCCCAATGTGGTGTTCACTTTAAGCAGGGAAAAGGTCCAGGTGAACTGAAGAAAATGAGTCTCTTTTTTTAAAAACATATTTTATTTATTTATTTGACAGACAGAGATCACAAGTAGGCAGAAAGGCAGGCAGAGAGAGAGGGGGAAGCCGGCTCCAGGGGGAAGCAGGCTCCTTGCCACCCAGGTGCCCCAGAAAATGAGTTTTTTTCCGAAGTAGATAAAGGTGGGGAAGATGAGACCCTGTAAGAGGACTGTGACTGTAGCGATGAGGTAATTGTGTATATACAGTGCGGAGCAGAATGACTTACTAATGTCAACAACCAAAATCCAGAGTAAAACAGTTGAACTGGGGGCGCCTGGATGGCTCAGTGGGTTAGGCCTCTGCCTTCAGCTCAGGTCATGGTCCCAGGGCCCTGGGATCGAGCCCCATATCGGTCTCTCTGCTCCGCAGGGAGCCTGCTTCCTCCTCTCGCTCTGCTTGCCTCTCTGCCTACTTGTGATCTATGTCTGTCAAATGAATAAAATATATATAAAAAAAACAACAACAAAGAACAGTTGAACTGCCTTGTTTAATCTGAAAAGTGGTATTGTGAACACTTTCTGACTTACTTTCACAAGTCCACCCTAACTAGACTCAATACCAAATTCTGACCCAGTCATTTTTAGGGGGAAAAAAATTGCAGACCACTCCCATGAACAGAGATGCAAAAATTCCGAATGGAATGGTGGCAAATTAAATACCAGTGTCAACTGAAAAGAAGAGTACATTGTGAGAAGTGAGGTTTGTTTTGGGGGAATGCAGAAGTATTTTGTGTTTGAAAAGTGATATTGGTTGCCCAGAAGCACGGGTTTGATAGAAAATCTCTTGATTCTTAAAACTGCTTCATTAAATTCCATTAGTTTGTGTGCCTGCCAAACATCTGTGTTCCCAGATTTATTTTTTGGATAAATATTTAGGTCCCTACTATGTTCTCTGTTTCTGGTTGGGAGCCTCTGTGTGAGTATTGAATATGGATAGGTTTAAGTTGACTCCTAAAAGAATTGAGGTGGATGAGTGGGTACACAGCCCATGGTAATAGGTGACAGAGAAGGGATTGTTAGGGCCAATTTAATGGTAAAACCTGTTTAACTATTAGGGCCTGCTTAGCCAGAGCAACTCCATATTGCCTAGGTAGCCATATTGTTGTTTACATCCACGGGCTTCATTCCGGGAATAAATGCCCCTGTAGTTCCTGGTATGGTTCCGGGTATCGATTCCGGGAATAAACGCCTTAACAATAGAAGTCACGTACCTTGGGTCTACAGTTATGCCCTATAAAACCAGCCTGTGAGATCGGGAGGGGGTCGCTCTCTTCGGAGGTGGCCCTGGCCGGTCAGTCTGACTTCTAATGCTTGGCATAGAATAAGGCTTTGCATAACTTTCACTTTGCCTCAGCCTCGTTCCTTTGATAACGGACCCCAACAGGATTATACAGGGTTTTGCTGAATCCAAAGCCCCTACCCTTTCCTGATTCATTTTTTTTGTACCCTCCGCACACACACCCCCGCCACCACCCCCAAGCAACTTATTTTGAAAGACAGGCAGCCACTTGTATAATAGAAACTTTATTCAACCCTATTCAGGCTAGTAGTTGTTTTAATCAATCAAAAGTAAATTATCCGTACATACCTTTTAATTTTAATGTAAAACATGTCAAATGTGGGGGTGCTTGGGTAGCTCAGTTGGTTAAGCGTCTGCCTTCAGCTCAGGGCGTGATACCGGGGTCCTGGGATGGAGTGCCGAGTTGGAGGACTGCTTTGCTCTCTCTTGCTGTCAAATAAATAAAAATCCTAAGGAAAAAAAATGTTAAATGTGTATTCACTTATGAATATTTTGATGTGGGACTAAGGCCTTGTTTTTGACTTTGGATTCAGTGTTGGAATAGTTTGTCTCCCAGTACAAAGTACTCCCGTAAGTGCAGCTTCTGTAAATTGAAGTTTGGTTCTTTTTTTCTTTTTAAGTTTTTATTTAGGTTGTCTCTGCATCCAACGTGGGGCTTAACTCACAACCCCGAGATCAATAGTTGTATTCTTTTCCACCTGAGCCAGACAGGCACCCCAAAGTTTTGTTTCTTTAAAGCAAAGCAAAACCTTAAAAACTGCTAGTAAAGCAATTTCAATACTCCTACATTTTTACCATTTTTTTCCATCCTTTTATGGTTGCTCACCCACACCTAATTTGACTACAGTGTGTGTGTGTGTGTGTTTTAAGATTTTTATTTATTTGACAGAAAGAAATCACAAGCAGGCAGAGAGGCAGGCAGAGAGAGGGAAGCAGGCTCCCCGCTGAGCAGAGAGGAGGATGCGGGGCTTGATCCCAGGACCCTGAGACCATGACCTGAGCTGAAGGCGGAGGCATAACACACTGAGCCACCCAGGGGCCCCTTAAGTTTCATCAAATAGGTCTGAAGCATTCAATGTTGTCTTCAGAGATTCAGTAACTTACTTTTTGCATTGATCTCATTGGTTCATATGATTTTATTATGTAATCGAAACTGCAACTATGACAGTCTAATATGGGTTTGGAACAAACACAATTGATGCTTATTGAGGATGTACTTTAGCCTACGACAACAGACATGACCAGGTGTTCTGTGAGTACCATAGAGGAGCCTGCTAGCCACACCTGCTTGGTATTTCGTGGACCTCAAGTTAGTAAGTCCTGTTTGGAATGGAGACTGTCATTTAATCTAGCCATAGATCTAGGTTCGTATGATTTGGTTAAGTAGACTTAGTTAGACACAGTTAAGAGAACATCTATTGTTTTGTGATGTTTACTATACACTGCATTAGCTTATGTAGCGATAAGCCAGAAAATTCTTGGTGAATGCAACTTTTGCTTTGGAACACAGACTCTTATTCCTGAAGAAAACAGGAGTGGTCACGTTATATCCTCCCTACGCTGATATGCATGTGATGTGGTTCTGGGCTGTTCACAGTGGTCACCCTTGGTCATTCCCTTTAAAAGTGTGATTGATTGATTTTTTTTTAAAAGATTTTATTTATTTATTTGTCAGAGAGAGCACAAGCAGGGGGAGCTGCAGCTAGAGGAAGAAGCAGGTTCCTTGCTGACCAAGAAGTCCAAAGCAGGACTTGATCCCAGGACCCTGAGATCATGACCTGAGCCAAAGGCAGATGCTTAATGGACTGAGCCACCCAGGCATCCCTAAAGTGTGATTCCTATAACGGTTTTCTCTGATCAGTGTAGCATATAGAAGTATGCTCACAGTCAGATGAACTTTTAGGTTATTCAGACCCCAAAGTTGGCTCATTGAAATTATTTCGTTAAAACCCTTATCTCTTTGGATGCCTGGCTGGCTCAGTTGGAAAAGCATGCTACTCTTTTTTTTTTTTTTTTAAGATTTTATTTACTTGACAGAGAGAGATCACAAGTAGGCAGAGAGGCAGGCAGAGAGCGGGGGAAGCAGGCTCCCCACCTAGCAGAGAGCCTGATATGGGGCTTGATCCCAGGACCCTGAGGTGATGACCTGAGCTGAAGGCAGATGCTTAACCCACTGAGCCACCCAGGTGCTCCAGATTAGGGCCTACTCTATTGATCCCATTTTAACTTAATTACTTCTTTAAAAGCCTGTCTCCCAAGTACAGTAACATTCTTAGATACTGTGGATTAAGACTTTGACATACGGATTTTAGTGGAATATAGTTCAGCTCATAACACCAGTAATGCCTTCCCTCTGTTGTGACATTGTTCCTAGTTAACACTGGCAAGGTGAAGACGTTTGTTTTATGTATTACCCATAGTTCTTAATTTTGTCCTTTTGTGTATGGTGAGAAATCATTCAATGCTTTGCTAAAATTTTAATCTTTAAAAAAAAAGGTTGATTTATTTGAGAGAGAGAGTGCATGTGCTTGCACGTGAGTGTGGGGGGAGGGGCAGACGGAGAGAGAAAAACTCAAACAGATTCCATGCTGGGTTTAGAGCCCAACTCGGGGTTTGACCTCATGGTCCTGAGATCATGACCTCAGTCAAAACCAAGAGTCAGGTGCTTAACTGACTGTGCCACCCAGGCGCCCCTAACATTTTTATCTTTAGTTTTATAGTACCATACCCAGTTATCAGTAGTTGTGGGTTGGAATTGATGGTGCAATTAGGAAGCATGAGGCCCAATCTTTGAGGCTTGGCTCTCACTCCTCCTCTGTATGTTCCAGGTGCCTGTTGTGGGGGGCTGTTCACTTTGTGTTTATTTGTATGTGAAGAGTTGGCACTCTAGGGGTGCCTGGCTGGCCAGTTGGTGGAGCACATGACTCTTGATCTCAGGGTTGTGATTTCAACCCCCACGGTAGGTGTAGAGATTACTTAAAAATAAAATCTTAAAACAAAAACAAAAGCAAACAAACCGAAAAACAAAACAAAGAGTTGGCACTCTTAGTGGCATGTGGAACCACCCAGACAGTAGTTGACTTGGTATATTTTCCTAGGCCAGTAGTTTGGAAACTTCTAGAAACCTAGTTCCTTCCCTCTAAAGGATTTGATAGCTCTAAGTGTAGTCTAGGATTTTTTTTTCTTTTTCTTTTCCTGTTTCTTTAGGAAAGCTTGCCAGGTGGTTCTGGGAGCTCTCTTACTACACGCTGAGAAACTCGTCTCCGAGAGCTCAGCGTAGATGCTGGCCCAAGTGCATGACCGAATCGTGTACTTGCTGACTGTACAGCATGGTGGTAACCTCGTGGGCTCAGGCATTGTGTAGGTACAATATTTGGGACATAGTAAAAGCCCAAGTGGAAAACAAGGAGATTTTTTACTGCAGTTTGGCATTACACAATGCCAGAATTTCAGTGGAATTTTCTTTTAGTGACATTGTTTCTGAACTGTTTGAGTTCTTTTTTCTTCTTTCTTTTTAAAAATTTTACCTTCTTATATGGCTGCTGGTGGCAAATATAGGTCCTGTATCACTTCTTCTTTTTTGCCCAGTTGCATTTTCTCTTTCTCACTTCTTTTGTATCAGAAGAGTATTTCCTGGGTGTGAGCATATTTTATAGTACTCAGACCGTCTTGGTAAAAACAAAAAGATAATAATAATAGTAAACATTCATTGAGCACTCATTGTACCGGGCATTGTTCTTTGTTCCTTATTTAGATGAATTCATGGAATCTTTTAAGACAGCCCTCAGTGGTAATTATTGACATTATCCCCATTTCATGAAGGAGAATATTTAGGCACAGAGAAGTTAAGTGATGTGCCCGATATCACACAGTTAGAAAATGGCAGAGCTAGGATTTGAGCCCAGCACTTTGGGCTCAGAGCCTCTGCCACAGCTTTTGTCAGTTGTGTTACTTTTGTGTTAACTGTATTTTATAATATTGTTGCAATTTCAGTAAATAGGATTTCCATTTGCATTAAAAAGTCTTCTCCTAATAGCTCCTAATAAAGTCTTCTAATTGTTGTGGGGGACCATCAAGTGGATTGCGGCTACGTAACAGCAATAGTTTGCTAACACATTCTTTTTTTTTTTTTTAAGATTTTTTTTTTTTATTTGACAAAAGAGGGTCACAGGGTGGGCAGAGGGGGGGGAAGAGAGGGGGGGGGGGGGGGACGGCGGGGGGAGAAGCAGGCTCCCTGCTGAGCAGAGAGCCTGATGCAGGGTTCGATCCCAGGACTCTGGGACCATGACCTAAGCCGAAGGCAGAGGCTTTAACCTAACCCACTAAGCCACCCAGGCGCCCCTTGCTAACACATTCTTCATTAGGAGTGGTATTTTTGTTCCAATTCATACATGCAGATGGCTCTTTCTTTAAACAAAAATTCCAAACCTTATAATTTCAAGCTTCATTTTCTATAGCTTTTAGTTAAGTTCAGTCAGTTGCTGAACAGAAAAATGATAAGGATTTCAGTAGGTGAATTAGCACTCACTCTTAGTCCTTGCTCTAGAACAGGGTTTCTCGATTTTGGTGCTATTGACACCAAATAATTCTTTCTTGTGGGGGACCGTCAAGTGGATTGTTGTGAGGGACCATCAAGTGGATTGCGGCTACGTAACAGCAGGCCTGAATTCTACCCATGTCATTATAGAAGCACTCTATAGCCCTTCTCAGACTTGCTCAGGAGTGAGAACCACGCCTCCTCTCTGGTTACTTTATGGCATTTGTGTTGCTAGTTGCTGGAGCCTTGGTTTTAAATTGTGAATGACTCACTGTTGATTTCCACTTTCACATCTAGTAAGACTAGCCAACCCGAAGTCATGTGCTTTTTGATCTTACCTAGGAGTTTTTTTTTCCTTTTCTTTTACATCTCTGTAGGAAGTTCGGGTTTGTGAATTTTAAATTTGCTGATGACCAGGGAAGAGCCTTGAGACTTAGTGAGACAAACGTCCTTGGGTATGAAATTAAATTGAGAAAACCGAAAAGAAAGGATGTAAGAAAGGTATGCAAACAAGTTAATTTGTTGATAGATACCTGTATATCTAGCCAACTTTGGGTCAGGAATGAGTCTCGGATTCTTACTCTGTGCAAGTAGTCTGTTACCATTGATTGGGTCACTTCCTTGCATAGCGCAAACTTTGCGTACATTACTCTCGCCCTCTGTGCTCGAGCTGCATGGCTCACCTCCCCTGTCATAATGTTCTTTGTCTCCAGGACTCATTCCCTGGCTACCTGCAGCCCATCCATAGAATCTCAGTTTAAGGGTCACTTCCTCAGGATCAGAAAAATTTTCCCTTACTTCCAGACTAGGTTAAGTCATTTTGGGGTGGGGGAAGGGTGCTTGGGGGAACTTTTTTTTTTTTTTTTTTGAGAGAGAGAGAGAGTGTGTATGAGCGTGGAGGGGCAGAGGGAGAAGGAGAGAAAGAATCTTTAAACAGGTTCCACGCTGAGCATGGAGCCCAACATGGGGCTCAGTCCCACAACTCTTGAGATCAGGACCTGAGCTGAAATAAAAAGAGTTGGATGCTTAATTGACTGAGCCACCCAGGTGCCCCTCTTCTTTTTTTTAACTTTATTTATTTATTTTAAGTAATCTCTCCACCCACCATGGGGCTCAAACTCATTACCCGGAGATCAAGAGTCTCATGTTCATCTATCTGAGCCAGCCAGGTGCCCCTAGCTTAAGTCTTTACTGGATGTTCTCCTTTCCCTTTTTACTTTTCCTTCTTGGCACTCACCAGAGTTTGTAATTGTATGACTATTTGCTTAATAGCCTTTCTCCCCAGCAAGACCACTTTCCTGACAGTTGAGGCCAAGTCTGTATTTTCGTAGAGCATGTAGCACGGGCCCTCGCCCAGATATATGTTGAAAGATTTGTTAAATGAACGAATATGTATTGCTTTTGACACCTTCAATTCCTGGAGAAGTATTTTTTCTCCTTTAGAGAACTTTAGATACTTCTTTAGATCTGAACTTGGACTAAAAATACTCTTTTGTGTTATGTAGATCAGAATGTCAAAACACTTTTCAAGAACCTGCCTGACAAAGTCACTCAACATGAGTTAAAAGAAGTGTTTAAGGATGCCTTTCAAGTCAGATTGGTGAGCAAGGATGGGACGAGTAAAAGTGTGTTTTGTACCTATACTGAAAAAGAATATATCTCTACTGGATTCAGACATAACAGAATTTCATTACATTCTCCTTAACTGCTTAAGAAAAGAAAAGAAAAGAAAAGAAAAGAAGAGAAAAGAAACAACAACCCAGGAAAAATAGTGGCAAATTATAAACAGGTAGGTCACAGAAAAGGAATTTTCTTTTGAACTTAAGATACTTATCCTCACTCATACTAAAAGAATTATAAATTAAAATGCAATTTTAATTAATTTATTTAGATGTAACATTTTCCTATTAGATACTAACAATCAAACAGTTATTCCACAGTATCGAAGAAACTGGCATGCTTGGACATTGTTGGTGGAAGGGAAATTGCTGAAGTCTCTGTGGATATGAGTTAGTATCTATCAGTTGTGTTGCTTGTACCATTTTATGGGGCAGTTCGAATCCTAAGAATTTATCCCACAGATAGACAAGTGTGACATAATATATTACAGAGTTGGCTGATGCAAAATTAGAATTAGCCTGAATATCTATAAATAGAAAACTGGCTAAAATTTTCTGGTAGGTCCAAAAGACATTATACCATGCAGTTGTAAAAAGAAGTGAGACATCACTTTGTGTGCTGATGGGAAATAAACTCCAATATAAAGGCAAAATATAGAACAGTGTGTATATGATATTCTCTTTTTTATGTAAAAACATAACGGAGGACAAACCTACACAAAAATGAACTCAAAATAGATCAAAGACCTCAATGTAAGAGCTGAAACAAAACTATGGTGAAAACACAGGAGTAAATCCTTGTGATCTTAGGTTAGGGTATCATGCAGGCAATAAAAGATTGACAAGTTGGGCTTTATCAAAATTAAAAACATGTGTACTTCAAAGGACACTACACAAAAATCAAAACAACTCTGCAGACTGGGAAAAAGATAGGGCAAATTGTGTATCCGATGAGAGCCTTGGATTCGGAATATGTGAAGAACTCTCACAGCTCAGTCATAAGACTACCCAATTGAAAAATGGGCAAAAAGCTTGAATGGGCATTGCTCCAAACAAAGTATATGAATGGCCAGGAAGAACATGAAAAGATGCTCCAGGAGTTGGTAAGGAAATGCAAGTCAAAACCATGATGTGATTCCCACTTCCCACCCATCAGAGTGGCTGATGATGAGAGAGGCAGACAATAGCATGTGTTGACAAGGTGAAGGGGACATTGGAACCCACATTCGTTGCCAGTGGGAATGTAAAACAAAATAGTTCAGTTGCTGGGGAAAACGGTTCGGCAGTTTCTCAAAATGTTAAACAGAGAGTCGCCATATGGTGTGGCAATTCTACTACTTGGTGTGAACATAATGAAAACCTATAGCCACTCGCTTCTACACATGTTCAGATCACCTTCATTCGTAATAGCTGAAAAGTGGAAACAACTCCAAATGTCCACCAGCTGATGGATGGGTAAATAAAATGTGTCATTTCCACACAAGGTGACATTATCCTGCCATAAAAAGGAATGATGGACTGACACATGCTACATCTTGGATGAGTCTGGAAAACATCAGGCCAAGTGAAAGAAGGCAGGCATAAAAGATTGCATATTCATGTGATCCCATTTATCCAAAATGTCCAGAATGGGCAAGTAGCATGGTAGTTGGGCCAGGCCATGGGAATGAGTTGGAGGGAATGAGGAGAGACTGCTGATGGATACTTTGGGAGAGGACAAAAATATTCTAAAATTAGATTGTGGTGATGATTATAGAATTCTGTAAACATACTAGAAATCATTATATACTTTGTTTCTATTTTGTTTAAAGATTTCAGTTTTAAGTAATCGCTACACCCAGTGTGGGACTTGAATTTGCAACCCCGAGATCAAGAGTTACATGCTCCACCGACTGAGCCAGCCAGGCGTCCCTTACTGTACACGTTAACTAGATGCATTTTATGATATGTAAATTACATCTCAGGCAAGCTTTGAAAGGTAGAGTGTGTATGTGTATACATTTATATGTATGGCGTGTTGCCTGTAAGGATAGAAATTGGGCAGAAGGCACACTTTACTGTATTTTCTCCCTTTTGCAGTTTGAATCCTGCATGTGTGTCACTAATTCAGAAGATTAAAGGACTAAATGTTGACTCTTCGTTCTTCTCTCCCCCACACCATCTCCACAATTGCAGGATTGCATATGTTGATTTCAAGTCACAGGCTGATGCAGAAAGAGCCTTGGACTAGAAACAAGGAGCAGAGGTCAGTGGGCTTGCCATAGTTCTCGGTCACGCTGGAGAGAAAAGCCAAGGCCAAGAAGGGAGGGGGGAGACGCACAGCACATAGAGAAGTAAGGGATGTTAACATGCTGTAGACTGAGGCTTGCCAGGGTTGTCAGCAGGGTCCCCCAGAGAGGGGCTTATAGGGGGAGAGGGACACTTCCATACAATATCTCCCTGTATCAAAAATGTGTAAGTCATCCTCCTATCAAGCAAATGAGTAGTGTCCTAGTTAACTGTAACCACAAAATCTGCAAAAACATGGCACTTTGAGGTCCATCAGCTTAGCTCCCCTTCTTGGGTACCCTCTATGATTCTGTTTGGACAGGTTCTTAAACCTGTGGTTTCAGAATTCGAGATTTAATTCTCTTCAAGTAGAGTTTTTGTCTGCTTTAAGCCAGAGATCCCAAACCAGTGTCCCTAAGCTGCCTAATTTGATGGCTAGATGTGGTATATATAATATTTTCAGGAAAAAAAATTTAATTTATTATGTGTCGTGAAATTTCACATTGGTAGTATCCCTTGTCTGCCTAATCTGATGGGTAGACGTTGTAGCTTATCTGGTATTTACAGGAAAAAAACCCAATCTATTACTAATATTTTTAAGAATCAAGGACTTTCAGGTAGAATTCTGGATTTCCAGCTTCTTTTGCTGGGGCCTCAAAATTGATGGCCTGGGGCTGCATTCCTGCGTGTCTGCAGTCACCTGCACAAGGACAATCAGAGATTTCTTCTTAGTCATGCCCTACAGTCCCCAAGCCCCCACAATTTACTCAGTTCTCCCCTACTTCGAAGGAGTAAGCTGTACACTTCCACTTTGCAAAAATAGAGTCTCTACGTTTCTCTTGCAAAGTAGTACTTTTCTATCTGTAAAGGTGACATTTTAATATTTCTTATGTGTTTGTGTGTTCCAAAAGTGGGAAAACAAAAGCTAGACCAAGAAAGCCACGTGTTTAAAGAAAAAAGGAACAAGCTTATTTCTTTGTGGAGGTTAAGAATGTTCTTACGTGTTTAATATGCAAAATGTGCCTGTGTTGATGGAATTGAACCTCAGACGCCATTATGAAACAATCCACAGTAGGAACCATGATAGATATACTCAAAAGATGTGTGATAGGGGTGCCTGGGTGGCTCAGTGGGTTAAAGCCTCTGCCTTCGGCTTAGGTCATGATCCCAGGGTCCTGGGATCACAGGGTCCTGGGATCAAGGCCTGCATCAGGCTCTCTGCTCAGCGGGGAGCCTGCTTCCTCCTCTCTCTGCCTGCCTCTCTGCCTACTTGTGATCTCTGTCAAAAAAATAAATAAAATCTTTAAAAAAAAAGATGCGTGATAAAAAACTTAAACGAACTGAAAAAGAGACTGAAATTTCAACACGACTTACTTTTGAGAGTTAATAAAATAAATGCCCCCGCTAGGAAATGCAGTTATGTGTTAAGTAAGAAAATTGCCTGGGCATCGAAACCTTTTACAGATGGTCTAAGTTGTTTTTTTTTTTTTTTTTAAGATTTTTTTTTTAATTTATTTGACAGAGATCACAAGTTAGCAGCGGGGGTGGTGGGAAGTAGGCTCCCTGCTGAGCAGAGAGCCTGATGCAGGGCTCGATCCCAGGACCCTGAGATCATGACCTGAGTCAAAGTCAGAGGCTTAACCCACTGAGCCACCCAGATGGTAAGTTTATAAAGGAATGTCTGTTGAGTGCAGCGGAACAGAGAAAAACATTTGCTAGTCTAAGACTAAGTGGTAATACTGTTAAGCAGCATGTTGACAGGCTCATGAAAGGGTCAATGGAGATAATGCCCCCCCAGTTGGCTATATCTATTTGTGCTGTTGATGACGCTTTTGACGGGATGGAAGAACTTTTGGACGTGGTTCCCATGACAGGGACCATGTCAGGAAATGACTGACTTGTCTATATTGAGGAAAGTCTTAAAAAATTTAATGTAGCCTGGTCACAGTTAGTAAGCATTAGCACAGATGGCAATTTGGCACTGGTTGGTGTTGAGCAACTTGTTACGAAACTTAAAGCTAAAGTGTCCAGGGTTTGCAAAGACACAGAACTGAAGTCCATGCATGGCCTCATTCTCCAGCAGTCGCTTTGTGCTAAAAAGTTAAAAATGGATCATGTCGTGGACATAGTGGTTCACACCATAACCTAGATACGTTCCCATGGCTCAGACCACGGAAAGTTCAGCACTTTGTTCAATGACTTAGATGCACAGTATGGAAGCCTGTCGTTCTCCATGGGACATAAGTGGCTGAGTCATGGTGTGGTGCTCAGGTGGTTTTTTGAACTGTTGGAAGAAATTGATTTTTTCATGTCTTCTGGAGACTCGGTTCCTCAGCTCACCAGCAAAGATTGGGTCAAAGACTTAGTCTTTTTGGTTGACATTATGACTTACTTAAACATGTTGGAGATTTCCTGCAAAGGCGCTCACAAGTAGTTACACAGATGTACGATTCAGTTCGCTCCTTCCTGATGAGACTGTGTCTTTGGGAAGCTCATTTGGCAAGGAAGAAGCTGGCCCACTTCCCTACACTGAAATTAGTTTCTGAAAATGAAAGAGATGGCCTGAACTGTATTTCCCAAATTAGGGAGTTGAGACTGGATTCCAGGAATGGTTCTCTGATTTCAAACTTTACGAAAACCAACTGACGTCGTACAGCTCACCTTTCTCGATCAACGTTAATAACATGAAAGAAGAGCTGCAAATGGAAGTTCTTTTTTTTTTTTTAAGATTTAATTAATTTTTTGACACAGAGAGATACAGTGAGAGAGGAAACATAAGCAGGGGGAGTCGGAGAGGGAGAAGCAGGCTCCCCGCAGGGAGCCCGAGGCGGGGCTTGATGTGGAGCTTGATTCGGGGCTAGATCTCAGGACCCAGAGATCATGACCCAGGCCGAAGGCAGACACTTAACTACTGAGCCACCCAGGCGCCCCCAATGGAAATTCTTGAATTATAAGGCAACACATGACTGAGGACAACATACGATGGTGTTGGGATCCCAGAATTCTACAAGTATCTCGGGAACGGTTACTTAAATATAAAAACCACTAAGCAAAGATTCTGTCCATGTTCAGAAGTACCTATGTTTGTGAGCAGCTCTTTTCTGTCATGAAACAGCATAAAACTAAATATTGCTCCTGGTTAAAGGACTCGGAGGTGAATTCCCTACTACACATCACCGTGCAAGATTCCCAGCCTGTCCTTGCTTGACACCTTGGGGCTTAAGAAGGGACTATCAGGTGTCAGATTTCAAATCTAAGGACAAAAAAATTAGGAAACTTTAAATATTATTTCTACTTCCAAATTATATTTGTTCAGCGTCAAATTTAAGGTACAATCTCTGGGATCCTGTTTCTTTGTTTGTTTTTAAAGATTTTATTTGAGAGAGAGAGAGTGAGAGCATGAGAGGGGGAAGGTCAGAGGGAGAAGTAGACTTCCCACAGAGCTGGGAGCCGGATGTGGGACCTGATCTGGGACTCCGGGATCATGACCTGAGCTGAAGGCAGTGGCTTAACAAAATGAGCCACTCAGGTGCCCCTGGGATCCTGTGTTTGTATTTGTCAAATACGAAATAAAGTTTGATAATACCTTGGCAGTTTCTTTTTCCTACACTTGGTCTTTCTAGCCCTTAGAGTCTTTCAAGTAGATAAACCTCTGCCCTAAAAGCAGCCACACCTTTCCTAAAAGCATTCAGGAGCCAGGGATGTAAATCAGAGAGGCAGCTGGATGGATGGGATGTTGAGATGCCTCTCACAGCTCTGTCCCCAAGGATGACAGACCTGTCACTCTGATCTTAGGACTCAGGACAGGATAACCCCCCCCCACCCCAGACAGCATGGGGTCAACATAGCCAGTGCTCACCCCTGGGCTTCTTTTTTGGTGTTTCCGTTTTGGATTTACACATTTTGAAATTTCCACATTGGTGGTCAGCATTAGGACAAGTGTGGCTGGCCCCAAAGCCATTCTGCCTCCTGTAGGTGGGGATGGGTCACCCTGAGGGGATGCAGAAGGAGGCCCATAGCTACCATCAGAGTCTTAAAGAGCTCCATGATCCGAAAGGTGTTTTTCCACTGTGAAACTGGGACATGACTCTCACTGTCACAGAAACTGTAGCTCAAAAAATGAGTCCAGTTATAAAAGTGATATATACTTATTGTAGCACATTTGGAAACTATACGGAAATAGGAAAATCTATAATCTCAACAACCAGAGGTTACCCCTATAAATATTTAGGTATATTTGTTTCTTTCAATTTCTTATGAATTATTTTATATGGTCAAATGCATTAAGTCTGAATCATTTTGTAATCTGCTGCCCTCCTCTCCTCCTCCCCCACTTAACAGTGAAATCCTGGGGTGCCTGGCTGGCACTGTCAAGTCGAGCAAGAAACTCTTCATCTCGGGGTTGTAAGTTTGAGCCCCACATTGGGTATAGAGATTACTTAAAAATAAAAAAATAAAATCTTAAAAACAAAACCAGGGAAATCCTAAATACCTGTCTGTCTTCCAAGCTCAAGGTGAGTTTATTTGATTGCATCAGGTGTGTACTGATGGGCCTTTGCCCACCAGCGTGAGTTCTCTTGGCATCGTATAAGCCATAGGCTTGATGTCCAGGTGTGGGATCTCTTTTCTGTTCTTCCAGGTTCTGACAAGGCCAGAGAAAAACCCTGCTGTCCAGGGAAGGAGAGGAAGAGTGCATTGATGACACTCAGGACAGCCTTTTTGGACAGAGGTTCTAAGACTATTAATGAGTGTGAAGAAACACCACTTTTTAGATCTGACCTTAATCTTTGCAGCATTTGATGCCACTGCTCCCCCCTTCCCTCCCCTTGAAATCTCATTCCTATTTTCTCCTTCCTCTCTGAATTCTTCTTCTCAGGCCCTCTCCTTCCTCTGTCCCTTAAATGTTGATTTTCCTCCAATGACTTTTTCTCCCTACTGCTTACCAGTGATTTTTAATCTTTTTGAGTGGAAGGGGACAGGGAAGATCAGTCAGGGCTCTCTTAAAGCAGCAGCTAAAATATACCAACCCTTTTCCAAGGGTTGACACATGTGTACCAAGGTACACACATGTGTACCTACACCTGTGTTTTTATTACACTTTCAGGAAGTCCCCAGACCCTAGAAACCCACCTTGGGAACATCTAGTCCCATGGCTTAATTATGTGCAAGTCTTCCATCATGGAATCTCCAGCCCTGCACTTCCTCCTCCTTCTTCTTTTTATTTTTTAAATTTCTTTTGTTATTTATTTATTTAGAAAGATTTTATTTATTTGACAGAGAGAGAGATCACAAGTAGGCAGAGAGGCAGGCAGAGAGAGAGGGGGAAGCAGGCTCCCCTCTGAGCAGAGAGTCGGATGTGGGGCTTGATCCCAGGACCCTGGGATCATGACCGGAGCCAAAGGCAGAGGCTTTAGCCCACTGAGCCACTCAGGCACCCGCTTCTTTTTTTTTTTTTTTTTTTAAGTTTATTTATTTGAGAGAGAGAGATAGAATATGAGCAGGCAGGAGGGGCAGAGGGATGAGAGAGAATCTCAAGCAGACTCCATGCTGAGTGCAGAACCTGACACGGGGCTCCATCTCACAACCCCAAGATCATGACCTGAGCTGAAAGCAAGAATCACCTGCTCAACCAACTGAGCCACCCAGGTGCCCTGGCTCTTCCTTCTAAATGCCAACCTGGAAGCTGCTAGACCTCTCCACTGGGATGTCCCATAGGCCTTTCTCAATGTATGGTGTTGATTGAATTCATCATTTCTCTCCCCAACTCCTAAATCAATTCACCCCTGGTTTTCTTTATTTTAGTGAGTGATAGAATTGTCCACCCAGTTCCGGCTCAAGCAGAACCCTGATGGTCATCTTGGACTCCTTCTTCTTACTCATTTCCCTTTTCTATTTAGTTGAAAAATCTTGTTGATTATACTACTTAACTAAGGTTTCAAATCTTCCCA